CTGGTAAAAGCCCCTCATAAAATTAGAAGTCTTGCAAAACTCAAAAAAGCGCATTATTATATACTCATTCTATCTTCATGAAGATAAAAGAAGGCTTGTACAAATGCAATTCCAAAACAAACTACATTTACTATTTTTAAGGAAAAAATTGTAGGGCATAATAATAGAGGTGCTGTTCTATCAGACTGAAGATGCTGTTGACTCTGTGCATGAATTTATCAACCTTTAATCCTTTTAAATGGTATGTCACTGTCCCTCAGAGTATGTCATATCCCTTACCCAGGATCATTGCCATTATCTTCTCCGCTTGCACCAATATCTGTTGAAACACACAGGACTTCAGCACTTATCAGAAGTGCAGAGGGTCTGTGACAGAAAAATGGTCTACTGCAACCTAGTGTTCTGCCCAGGTTATTGAATTAAGTCTATTGAATTATTGAAGTTTTGACTATACTGTCCTTGGAGGTACTTAAAGGATGTGCAAACATGGTGCTTAGGGCCATGGTTTCATGGTGAATTTGGCAGTGTTAGGTTAATGGTTGAACTCGATGACATTAAGGGCCTGTTTCAACCTAAATGCTTTTAGGATTCTAATTATCTTTAATTTTAGATTATAGTAATGGTTTAAGGATTTACGGGAGTGTGGTTAACTTAAAGCACAAATATTACCTCAAGTCATAACTCCTAGGCTCCTCCAAGTACTTCCTTCTATTTCTTCTTTTTAAAAAAACCCTATACTAGAAATTCAAAACTGCCAAACAAAATTGAAAACATCTCTCATCCAGACTTGACACTCAAATTCTTATTCTCCATATAAGCACACAGCTCTCACTAAATCAGAGTGCTGCATCCAAAAGCTGAATTTGATTCAAGCATAGTCTAGTAAGAGCACCATATGACTAGTCTAGTATGACTTCTGTCCTACTTTTTTTTCTCAGCCTTAGCTCCTTAGACCTTGCAGCAAGGTCAAGGCCTTTGCCTGCTCAGACTGAACACTTGGCCTGTGCTTTCAGACCACAAGAACAATATCTAGCTTTCATCTAATTATGGAAACCTCTAAATACTGATCTGAATCCATAAGCAGCCAAATATGGATCCAAGTACACAATTAGACTCTACAAACGAGGCTGCATGACCTTCTGACAACCTTCTCATTTGATCTCAGGGACAGACAGCACAGGACCCCACCAGGCAGAACTCCTCATACCAGAGGGCCAGCAAAGTCATCCCTGAACCTCATAGCCTACTTATTCATTATATCTTTAAAATAATTAAGCCTTGGTCTAAACAAGCTGCTTTTTTCCCCCTCACCTTCCCGACAGCACTGGCTAAATTATCAGAAAACATGAAGGCTACCATGGCATTTCATGTGTTGCTTTCTCATTCTGTGCAAAGAACAGATGATCTCAAAATTATATCCAAAGAATTTTCAAAATTACAATAATATTTATATTAATCCTCATCAGTTATGGATATTTTTGTTGCCTTTAACCCACTCCTATCTGGTTTTGAGTATTTAGGTAACATCCAGCATACCGCAGTCTTGTAACTGAGACAGAAAATTTTAACTTCAGTGTTATCCAGTGAAGTTCTTCATCCTTGTGGATCCTTGTGGAAAAAAAGGAAGAGGGAAGAAAGAAGAAAAGGAAAACAAGCCTGTTTCCACAGTGGGGGGTGAGGGGGAAAGTCCCTCAAACACAGTTTCTTTAGATGTCCATAATAATTAAAAGGAACACTGGAGAATAAATTTAGTTTTAAGAGCTGTTAAATAAGGAGGATCAAAAGCTCTTTTCTAAGCTAGTCTTTTTAAAAAGTAACCCTTGAGAGAAGCCCTGGCTACTGTTAGCTTCCAGTCCATAGGTTATATGCTGACACAAGGGAACACTTTGGGAAAGGTACAGTCAAACAGCCCTAGTTCAGGGGACCTGAGTAGAAATAAACAGTCATTCCTTAGCACTCAACAATAAATTCTCTGGATTTCTCAGCATTGTATGTAAAAGCCACACTTACCTTCTCTTCACTTACCCATTAAATTAACTAAAATTTTCATTACTTATGTTTAATAATTTTTTGGCAGCTCAGTCTGACTTGAAACACGTCAAAACCCCTAAGCAGAAATTCATAACTAGGAAACATTAGAGTGAAACAATGCAGACTTTTGGAAAAAGGAAAATAATATCCTCAAGAAATGACTTGTACCTGGAACTCACTGAAGCACCTACAGCTCTTAAACATACATGTATTTCCAGCCTATTTTTCCTCCAAAGTACAAAGCTATTTCTTTATGAGCACAGGCAACCAAGTTGATACAAAACACTGGGAAATTGCTCAGTAAAGATGATGGACAGTTTCATGTAGGCGAGTCCGCAAAGCAAAGGAGGCAGTGCCGTGCCTAAGGCTGCCACTTACTGTCATAAGCCCTGCAAGCTGAGTGGAAAGAGTGAATGACTCCAAAGGTGCTGGAGAAATGCCAGAATATGAAACTTAGGAGAAATCCCATCTATTTATGATTTAGGTAAAATGCAATGAAAATAAGGAGAATATTCCACTCCAAAAGGATCTGTAGAACAAGGACACCAGAGCAGGAAGGCACAAAATCTCTAAAAAAAGACTACTTTTTACTTCTCAAATCTCCACTATTTAATACTAATCTTAGAGCTTACAGGACCCACCTCTGTGCTAACTGTGATGTTCCTTCAGTAAAATTTATTCACCTATTTACCGGGTTTAGTAAAATGCAGCACTGCAATAGGTACACACAATTGCCACAAAAAAACCCCAAAAACCCACAACCAAAAAACAACAAAACAACCTAACCAATCACTTTGATCTTCCAAAAATAATATACCAGAAACATTCTTACATGATGTAATTGACGCTTCTTTTCAGCACCCTCCTCAATGTATTCAGATAAGATTGTCAGGCTATACCGTACTTCCAAATCTATCTTTATCTCATTGCACATGCAGACCTATTCAGAAAGTACATGCTGCCTCCTGGAACTGCAAACCAACAGACATAATTTTGGAGTTGTAACAAGCTTTGAAATTCCTGAAACACAATCAAGACCAAAACTGAAATGAAGCCCACGTCACACAGAAAAAATGGTATTATTGTAAAGGATACTAGGATACATTACCCAGAGAGAAACTTCAGCTTCACACAGCAGCAGTATAGGGGAAAAAAACACCTTATTTCTGAAGTTATCAATCCCTAAAAGCACCTTCCTAAAAGAATGTTTTTACCCTTATGGCATACTTCTACATAGTTAGTTTTTGTTATTGTTAATGTTGTTTTGTTGCTTTGTTATATTCATTTTGAACAAGCTGTAATCACTTGTCAATAACAATGCAACAAGATGAGTTTGCCGTTGCACTTGTATGATGCCATGGACATTGACACTAAGTCCCTGTTTTATCATTCATTGAATTCTCATGAAAATTTCTAATTTTAGATCACGGAAACCAAGCTCTTGAAAGCCACCACAAGAAAGAGACCATTTCATCTCCTTGAATGCTGGATTAATTAGGGTATGGGAAGGGAAGGACAATGGGAAGGCTGCAAGACTGAGGGCCAGACTGTCCCATACAGCACTTTTATTTTCCTTCCAGTCTGAATTTTCTGAGATCATCTATGGCCAGTTTTCTCCCAGCAACTTTTAATTACATGTTTCTGTGTCCTTGTCTTCTATTTAAGTACTTTTATGTGACTGTACAGCTACTGACATAGAGCATAATTCCTGTAGTTAGTTTCTTTTTAGTTTGTTTTTTTTACATGTCCAAACCTGGTCTTCAATGTCTTCGCATGAAGCCCCACTTACTATTTGATTTCTTGCTTTCCATAATTCAGCATTTCTGGTTCTTACAAAATCCTTCTACTTATTTTTGTTGTTGTTTGTTTGGGGTTTTTTTTTGCCCCTCAATGCGTAGCTTGAGTTTTAGCAGTTAAATACATCAAAGTGACATTTTTAAATACAGCTATATATGTCAGTCTAAGAAAACTCAAATGAGCAATCTACCACAACTATGCATTCGTAAGCAGCCTTCATTTACTATGAGATCATGCAGCAGCAAAGATCCCTTGGAGTGACTGTTCTCCCCTCAAAATACTGAAGAAACTCTCCAAACTTACAGCCTAGGTTCCCTGGCTAGATGAAAAACACAGGCATCCATTTGGCCCACAATAGAGGAAATCAGCTTTCTAATCACAGAGCACACCTTTTCCAAATCCCTCTCCAAGCCCTACCTTTGCTAGTTATCTTTTAAGTGCAAAGAACAGAACATTAACCTCTCATTACCTGTTTAACTCCAAAATTCCAGATAGCTTAAAATTGTTTCCAGCCCCTTAAGTGACCCCTTAAGTTATTACTTTCTCCTGGTTTATTCCATAAAGACTGCATGATATCCACAGATACCAATGATACTGCATTCTGCTGCACCACGATGGAAAGAAAAGAAATAAGAAAATAAGAAAACACATCTCCCAACAGGGTGATGGAGCAGGCTGGGTGCTGCCCCTGCCTGTTTCCCTGGTACTTTTCAATTGTCTAAGCAGCATGGAGAAAACCCTCCATCACTGCAAGAAAGGAGAGAAACACAGCTCCCAGAGAAAACACAGCTCCCAGAGCTACTCCTCCTGTTCAACCTGTCCCAGCAGCTGCTTTGTAAAATATGACCACACTCCAAGAAGTTACTTTGTTCTGTGCCCTCTGACACAGATATCCAGTAAAGGCTTTAGAATGCCTTTTCTTTCTTACAATTAGAGATTTGCAGTGTAATCTACAAGAAAAGGTGAACAACAGGGAGAATATCACAATTCCAAATATTAAAACTTATTCTGCTCAGTGGCGAGTATTAATCTTCCCTTAATTTTCTTGCATAAAATGAAAGAATTGGGACCAAACTTAGAAGCAAGTTCAAAGACACTTTACACAGCAAGTTGCTGCAGACCTGTGAGAGCTTCCAAGCAATAAAAACAACTTTTGGATGCATTTCCTTTACCTCTCAGGATGTAATTCTGATAATTCTGGTCAGCTTCTGCTCCCACTTTGATTAAGCAAGTCAGACCTTCAGCAACAACAAACTCATGAACCAAGTCCTTGTCATCCTGTCACAGGAGAAAGAAAAGCTGAATTAGATTTTTAAAAGACAAAGAAACAGAAGATATCATAATGTAAAAAACAAATGCATTCCTGCAACACTGATTTTATGTTTCACAAGTTGTAAACAAGTTGATAAGTTGATATGAAAGTTGTTATACAGAGGACCAAAAACAGAATTTTGAGTTTTAAAATCAGAATGAAATACATCAGTGCAAAGCAAAAAAAAAACAAAACAAAAAAAAAAAAAACCACAAAAAAAAAAACCAAAAAAAAACCCAAAAAAACCCAAAACTTCAACCTTTCAGTCTTTTTTTTTCATTGAAAGCTTGCAGACACTGTCCACAATATTAAATCTCTCATACCACATAAACAAATATCCTAAAAGTCTAGTGTCAGGATCAACAAGAGAACACCATCTCTATTCCTTAGCATAATTCCAATTTCAGTATTTTACCTGTGTACAGCAAACTATTATAACTGGTTTTATTGCAATGTAACATTATATTTATTACCTTAACATAATATTAATTCATTATATTTAGAATGGGAAAGTAAAGTGTTAAAGATAAGAGCACTAGTAGACAATACACCCACACTGAGATGGAAAACAGCAAATACACTTGCTAAAGTGGCTCCCTGTTTTTTCATCATCATTCCTTTCCTCAGGGTAGCAGAATGATCCCAATGATACAGTGACACCAGGGAGTGGAGGGGTGTCCTGGGCCTTACATGCATAACTACTGTGCCAAGGGACTATGGAGCACCACATCTAAAGCCTGTCTGCTCTTACAGAAGGCTCATGCAAGTAAGACAAGTAAGAAGCTACTAAGAGCTGGATTAAACAGCCCTTAATGAATCAGCCATGCAAATTAGGCACAAGACCAATTAAAGATATTAATGGGAGAGAATAACTCTGCAGACAATCCCAGTTGCCAACTGCCTTCTTTTAAACAATCTTAATTTATGCTTTCATACACAACAGTGTAACAGACATAAATTCCAGCTTTCCAATAGTGCAGTTCCAAGAACCCAAGATCCATACAGTAAATTTTTTGAGAGTGATTTTTGAATTAATGGCAAATGCTTAGCAAACTGCCAAGAGAAATCAAATAACCAAGTCCCTTTTAGTGAGACATTTCACTTACTGCAAGTTTCTTTCAGCTGGATGGTTTATTACGAATTTCCTTCTTTCACCAGAGATAATTTACATAATTCTGATAGTCTGACCAAAGGGGATATTAATAATTGGAAGATGACCTATCAGTTTGTGAGAAGTTTAGAAATTATGAGAAAAATAATGCATTTCATGTTTTAGCTGGTCCAATTTGTTAAAGCAATTTGAAAAATATTATACAGTACAGATACACAAATTTATCACATGATAAAGGTGATTTATCCTTTAAATAAAGTATGAAAGTACACAAAGTGGAAGCATGCAATCATACCCCACATCCTGGTGAAAGGATATAATAAAAGCCCAAAATATAAAAGATAAAATTCACCCCAGCATATGCACCTTTGAGCTAGAAATTCTTCTTATTTCTTAGTCTCAATTGTTTATCTTTTAGGAGTGCTATTTTTTTTTTTTTCCGTAACTAGATAGAAGCCTTAATAGTGTTTTCTGGAAAGCTAAGAAGATTACAAACTCTCATGTCAGACAGAGGCACTACAGATGCAAGCCCACAATTTTATGAAGACAAATTTCCTCTATTAATTTTCACCACTAGGTGAGTGGTCCCTCCCCTGTATCCCTTTATTATACAGTGTTTTTTAACACAAAGATACCTGAATAATTTCTTCTTCTGAAATAATTTTCAAACCTGTTTCTTTTAAAACTCAAGAGAGGAAACATATCCATACAATCTCCTGACTATCTTAATGTTAAATATATTAAGGTTTCAGGTAAACTAAGGCTATGTGTCATGGTAACATGTTGTCTAATTTAAGAGAAAATATATATATAACAAATATAATTATTGAGTGAAACAATCACAATTTTTTTTCCAGATAGTAATGTTATCCTAGTTCAAAAACATTTCCTTTTTCTTATAATGTCTTTTCTTGATACTTGAGCATAAATTTTGATTTTGCATTAAGTGTGTTTGCATAGTCCTTGAATTGAGGAAAAAAAGGAATCTATTCTGCCTTGACACATAGTGAAATAAAGAACATTGGAAAAACAGGAAAATGTAGGAATAACTGTAGTCTGCAGATTCTTACTTTTATTAATAGACCTAAAATGTCTGTTTGGGAAAAATAAAGGATATTTGGATGAATGGAAAAAAAAAAAAAGTCCATGTAGCAGAGAAGTTGACAATACTTCAGTCTTAGAGTCTTCCAGATTGAACCCCAAAAACAAAATAAAATTTTTAATACCATCTAGCAATTAAGGGCTGCTGACATTCACTGAAAGATCAACACTTAGACACCCACTGTAACTTTAGGATGTTTTCCCATAATCTTAAATAGTGAATACATTTCAGTGCATCACCTGAGGAAAATTAGAAATTAACATTTGATTGTCAAAATAAAGCAAGCTAAAAATCTGGTGTTTATGTTGAAGGTATTTATTTATTTGTCTAATTAGTTATTTAATTTTTTTTTATATGGACCTTTCCAAAGCAAATTTTGAGGTCTGTCTTCTGGGACTTTTTCAAAGCGACCAAGTCATAGAGTTACCCTAAACTGGAAGGAGATATATTGCAGGGGAACAGCAGAGGAAATAGAGGGGATGAGGAACTCCGACCAGACTGCTTTTGGAAAGCGCTGAATAAACAAATCAAATCTGAATTTTAAAAAAGGCTTTTAAGGTACTTCTCCTTTCCCAAATAAAAGGGAAAAAGAAGGTGTAATGACGTAGAGTACAAACACATCATGCCTTAGACATAAATCTCAACTCAGTACATTATCTATCCCATCATGTATATACGATGAGAGGAAAGAAGCAAACATCTGGAATGTGCAGAGAAAGATGAAAGGCATGCAAGCCCATACGTTCCACATTGAAAGGAGAATGTTTACATCAATTTTGGTCTAGGATAATCTTTTCAGGCCTATTAACTCACTGACTTGCCAAGTTAGGTGACCTCAAGAGTAAAGGCTACTCTCTAGCAGTGGTTAAGAGGTTCAGGTTACCAGGAAAAGAGCATTCAATGTTCAGAATATATGGCATGAGCGTGACAATGATACCTACAAGTACATGCCACACATGTGTGACAGCAGCTAGAAGGAGGCCGGGAAATGTTGCCATTTGCTATGGAAATGGACTCCTCTGCTAATATTGCAAAGATTTATGAGCCCTTAATCAGCAGGCATTAAGGCACTGATGAGAAAAGCAGCAAAACAGGCAAAGCTCTCTAAGCTCCTGCAACCATAAACATTGTGCAGTGACACAAAGGCTGGCTACTTAAAGTCTTTATGGAAAGGTACCATTGGCCTCATCAGATGAGCAGATTTTGCTCATTTATTTACTGACTTCAATTAGATCATGTCTCTTCCTTTTTTAGGCTTCTCAAAGAAGATAATGTATGTCTGCAATAGACGTCTATTTTCATCTAAAGTATAATAGAAAAGACACTAAATATACTCAAAGTGGTGACTTTAAAACTTGCTTATGTGGTTGACAAAGTGCACAAACCGTACTTTTTTTACCTCTATAACTCAGCCTAGCAACTAAAAAGACCCCACAAATGCTGTGATCAAGCGGTCTTTACTATGGGCTCCTGTGCCACTGGCAGAAGTAGTGGGGGACATTGTCTTCCTTCCCACACATTTGTACCATTTGAGATATTTTCTAATGCAGTTTTGCAGGGTCTTACCTGAAGATGGGGACTGAAGATGTTTTTCTAAGGAACAGCACTTTGCAAGAACATGTTTTATCTGATGTGCAGCTTCCACGTGCAAAGATAAATTGTTTATGTACTGTTAAAGATAACTTTTTCTGAAGCCTGCTATTTCTGTGGGCCATATGGTTGAAAGCTTTTACCCAAAGTGTCATTATTTTTATGCCACAAGAAAGTTGCTTCATTTCCTAATAAGAACTGAGGTCTTGGAATATAGTTTCTTGAGGGTATTTTTTTTTTTTAATCTAACAAGCACTGTTGAAAGCTTCATTCCAAGTATTTGGAAAAACTGGATTCGAAAGTGAATATTCACACTTGGATATGCACATATGTATTTCTTTCTTACGTGGCTAACAGCTGTGCAGAATACTGTCTTTCCAAGGAATCATAAAACAAAACAAGTTGCTTGTCTATAAGATTTTCACCAAGAAGAATCTCATTTTTATGTTTTGAGCTTCCCCCCCTTCCTTTAATAAGTGAACCCATTGTCTCTGTGTGCTTAAGCCTTCCCATATTTAATTCTATCTTGTAGAATTCTCTCCTGTTTCCGTTACAGAGTTAAAGACTGCACATTTTATAATGTTCATTTCTTTAAATAAGGAAAACCATTCATTTCCCATGGTTTCCAGGTTCCCCGGTCTGTGCTCTCCACATGACACTGAGATTACTGAGAGAGCCAGCAATCACATTCTGTACTGACCAGACCTTCCAAAATGCAAAAGTTGCTGCAATCCAGCCTAAAAGTGAGAGCAGCACAGGCAGACAGAGATTCACAGACAGGAGAATCTCCTCGCTAAGCTTTGCCTGTGGGTTTGCAAGAACCAGTGGTTGATGCATTTCACTGCTAGAGGAAAAGCTTCCCTCTTCGCTCTGTCATTCAACAGCATCCCTATTAAGAGAGATTTAAACTCTGATTATCAGGTCAGCTCTGGTTTTGTCTGTAGACCAAAAATTGTAGCTTCACAAAGATATACTGCATTCACAGTCCGACACTGTGATAATTCACCTAGACAAAAGATAAGATGAATATTGTCAATTCACTGGGCACCATGCATATGAGAAAAATTTATACCGACTTAAAGAGGAGGAGAAACCTCCTCTGCTGCCTGAAATCTTTTGGGACAAGATGATGGCAGCATATCAATACAGAATCCTACGAGCAG